TTCAGCGCTCCGTCCACGCCCCGCCCCCCGCTCGTAGCACCGCTCTCGGCGCTCAAAGAAAGCCAGCACTGCTACTTGTCCGTAGGGCTAAAACAGTGCAAAAACCACTTGCCCGGCGCCCGGAACTACATGTCCCGGGCGTCGGGCGATACGAAATCCACACCCCTGCGCTGTGCGGGCCACATTACAAGGTCCGGCGGGCCGCATTCGGCCCGCGGGCCTTGTGTTTGCCACCTCTGGTCTAGGGTGTAAAAAAAAAAGTTATACTCACCCGATTATCGGAGCTGACCGGTTGTTACAGCGCTTCTTCCTGCCTGTTTCCTTCTCTGCTGCAGCGATGGTTTGTCCCTCAGCGTCCTTTGAACAGTGTACAAAACGTGATGACTCAGGGGCCTTAGACCACTGCAGGGGAGGGGCAGAGAGGCTCCAGGGACCGGTCTGACAGCGAGTTGACTCGGAGGATCAGATGAGTATAACTTTATTATTATTATTCTTCCCTAGACCAAAATGAGCACTTAACCCTTGCAGTACAGCGAAGTCCCACTGCAAGGGTTAGGATACATTTCCCTGGAGTTCTTCTTTAAAAAGAACTCTTACATCTGATTGGCTGAGGGCCAAAGACTTCCCTTTAGTCCAGTTTTTAGAACTCACCCACCAAACATTTACTGTTAAGCAGGTGCCATTAAATGGTGCCTCTATTTTTATTTTTGAGAGCAGACAAAGTTCTGTTGGACAACTGGAAAAATGATAAACAAGTCAGGCTAGAAATATAAAAAAGAACTACAATGGGTTGAATGAATGGCTCATATAAAACTATGACGCAGATGGAATTCTCACGTCATCTCACCTGCTGTGCTGCATGGTTTCCAGTAAGGTGCTGTCTGGATCCACCTGGTAGAAACACTCAGAGTCTTCATCTTCAAAGTAAACCTACATAAATGGGTACGCCATTAATAATGTCAACTAAGAATATATTATTATTATTATTATTATATAGTATTTATATAGCGCCAACAGTTTGCGCAGCGCTTTACAATATAAGGAAGACATAACAGTTACAATACAATTCAAGACAAGATGGTAAGGAGGGCCCTGCCCCTGAGGGCTTACGATCTAAAAGAGGAGGGGGAAATGATACATGAGGAAGTTGTGGGGATGAATTATTTGAGAATGTGAAGGTTCAGTGGTTAGGTTGAGGTGGGATAGGCTTCCCTGAAGAGATGAGTCTTTAGGGAACGCCTAAAGGCAGTCAAGGTGGGAGATAGACGGACAGGTTGGGGTAAGGAGTTCCAGAGGATGGGAGAGACTCTAGAGAAGTCCTGGAGGCGAGTATGGGAGGAGTGGACAAGGGAGCTGGAAAG